TTAAATATATAATTTTCCATTATTATAATTATGGGTTTATAATTTCATATCACTCTATTTTAGTTTTTTCATAATTTTAATTTTGTTTTTATCATTTTTTAAATTATTTATTTATTTTCTATATAAATAATAACTATTTTTAAAATAATAAACATATTTTTAAATATTTGCCATTCTATTTTGGTTTTTATTATTTAATTTATGAATTTTATTAAATTATAATTTTTTATTTTACTTATTTTGTATATTTATATAATTGGTAAATATGCTTTTTGGAAATTTTATTTATTTAGTATTTTTATTATTTTATATAAATAATAAGTATATGTTTTCAGATAAAAATATGCCTTAATTTTAACATATTTTTAGAATAAAACTTATAAATTTGTTATATTAAATTGTTTTTTATTTTTTATTAATTTTTAGTTTAATTTTTGTAAAATTATAAATAGAACTTCAAATTTGAGCATGAGTCTTCAAACTAACAATAAATGTTTCTATAAATTAAAAAACACAAATAGAATATAGAACTACAATTGTAAATATATTCTATATATACAAAATAAACATATAATTCATAAAATTTTAAATAAGAAAATATTTAAAAAATACCTTACTAATGAATTCTCTTCCTCCTCTGTTTTCTCCTTCTTTCTTCCTTCCTTCTTCTTCTTCTTCTTCTTCTTCTTCTTCTTCTTCTTCTTCTTCTTCTTCTTCTTCTTCTTCTTCTTCTTCCTCCTCCTCCTCCTCCTCTTTTCTCTCGTTTTCACTCCTTCCCAAGTCTTACAGAAACTTTTTTTACTCATCTTTTTGTCCTAATGCAGGTTTTCAATTGTGGAATATACTTTCCACCGAAAGCAACTCAAGACCGACCAACAAAAGCTGAAGCGTGGTCCTTTTTAACCAATCATGAACCCAAGCTTGGATACGGCTCCATATCGGAGCGTATAGTATCGATACCGACGATCGGCACAGGAGTGTACCGATTGTAAAGTATCTCGTATCCCTGCTCTGCAATACCGACACAATATGCCCTGTATCGAAGGTATCGTATCGATATTTTAATCCCTGATAACTACTATATGAGATTACTTAGAGAGAGAGCATTAATATAGATTTCCTTACATTAAAAGTTGTTGTAGACTTTATTAATTAGATTTTAGATTTATAATGTTTTTGTAGATAAATCTTTAGATTAAATTCAAATTATTAGAAACCATATGATTTTACATTTTTTAAATTTTATTTTAAGAATTTTGGATTTTGATTGTAAATGATTAAGGCGTTAATTTTAGAAAGGGTAAATTACAAAGACCCCCCTATACTATGGGGTCTGTGACAAAGACCCCCTGTACTTTGTTTTGCGACAAAGACCCCTTCCATTAGCCTTCCATTGAAATCCGTCGTTGCAATATCTTTAAATCCACATACTACCCTTGTAATAACTATTCGGAAAAAATACTATTCATGTTCCCCGATCTCACGACTCTCTCTCTCCCCCGATCTCTCTTCTTCCCCTTCCCCTTTCTCTCATCCCTTTTCTTCTACCCGATATCAAGGAGAATAAGCTATGCATAACAATCACTACGAGCTAGCAGTTGTATAGTTAAAACATACGAATTTGGATGTACTTTGAGTTTTTCCACAGCCGCACTCCATAAGTACTCAACAATGATAGCGACCAAATAAGCAGGGTCTCCAGCCATCTCTTCTTCAACGAGAGCAAATACAAAATTGTACATTTCCTCAGGTGAAATTGCCACAAAAGGAACTTGTGACTACACAGAAGCATTAGAGTCAAATCGATTGCTACTAGGAATTTTGACCTCATTTTCATATGTGAACAAATCCAGCCCACTAGTTTTTACAATTACAACATCGCAAGTTGGACAATCTGTCCAAAAAAAACCCAGTATGCTCTCAGACTCCAACCTACATCTATGAATTAGAGCCTCACCAATTTCTCTGTTCTTGAACTGAATCTCATGATTTTATTGTCTCTGAGCTTTATAATTCCGAATATCTTTTGTGGAAAGACAATTTCAGCTCTATCTTGAGTAGTCACAGAAAATCCAATTCCACAATACTTCATTGAAAAAACTTCCGCCCTAGACCCCCAGTTCATTCAAACTTCATAGAGAAACTAGAGGAGTATTTCTTTTTCTATATTTCCACCTCTTCGTTAGTCATTACTCATTACCACACATGGAAAGATTCAGAACCAGAGAATATCCTCTTGTCTCCATTCTTCTCCTCTTCCTGCTCCTCACCTTCTTCTCTGTTGTTGCTTCTAACCAGTCACCCATCAAAACCATCGTAATCCTTGTCCTAGAGAACTAGTTCTTCGATCACATGCTCGGATGGATGAAGAAATATGTCAACCCATCAATCAATGGAGCCACAGGCAAGGAATGCAACCCTGTGTCAACTAAAACCCCACAATCCCAATCAATCTGCTTTACCAATGATGCCAAGTTTGTTGATCTGGATCCTGGACACTCATTCAAGGCTATCCAAGAACAGGTCTTTGGACCCAGCCTCATTCCTTCTATGTTAGGATTTGTCAAACAAGCTCCGACAATGTCTTCCAATCTCTCAAACACCGTGATGAAAGGATTCAAACCCGAATTTGTACCCATATACGCCTTCTTGGTGCGTGGATTTGCCATCTTTGATCGATGGTTCTCTTCGATTCCTAGGCCAACCCAACCAAACAGGCTCTTCGTCTACTCTGCAACGTCTCACGGTTCGACCAGCCATGTCAAGAAGTAGCTAGCTATAGACTACCCGAGAAGATAATCTTCGATGAGCACGGTGGGTTCATGTAAACAATAGGTTAAATAGGGTTGGGAGAGAGAAATAAAGAGAGAGGACGGTGAGGGAGGCCACGACGGTTCATTTCGGAGAGTTGGGAAAGAGAAAGAACGATAGAGGACGATGAGGGAGGGGAAAAGAAGAGAAGAAAGGGAAAGGAATAGGTTAAATAAGTTTTAAGAGAAAAAGGGCAAAAAAAGAAAATAGAAAAAGTTTAGTGGGGTATTTTGGTAATTTAATGCATTCCATCATCTCATTTAATGGTCAAGGGGGTCTTTGTCTCACAGTTGTAGTACAGAGGGGTCTTTATCGCAAAACAAAGTACAGGGGGGTTTTTGTCACATACCCCATAGTACGGGGGTCTTTGTAATTTACCCTTTTAGAAACAAGGCGTGGGCATGTATCATCGACTGTTTGCTTTTACCTCTTTTGGTCTTATGGAATAAGCGCAAAACTATGTGCCTGTTTGACAAGTCTTTTCCAGAAGATCTAATAGTTAAAAGACAGGGTGAGATTTTGCAAATAGATCTTGGAAGACCAAAGACTGTTTGGTTGAAATATTTTTCATAGATCTCACGAAAGATCATAAAAGTTAGAAGACCGTTTGGTAATGTAATGAAAATATGTGTTATGTATATATGAATGCCTTGTATGTGGGCAAACAAACCTTTCATTTAACACGTGGGATCCACATACATTTTCTAAGGTGGGCCCACATACCATTGGTGGACATGTATGTGGGGCCACATACATTTTACAAGGTGGGCTTGACATACCATTGGTGGGCATGCATGTGTGGATATGTATGTGGGGCCCACATACATTTTTTGGATTATAACAAATAAGGGCAACTTTAGGGCCCTAATATCAATAAAAGAAATATTTAAAAAAAATTCAAAAATAGGTTAACTTTTTTAACTTTAGGGCCCACATCGCCGTTCGCCGCCGCTGCCTCTGGCAATGCCTCTGCCTATCTCCGCCCACCTCCACCTCCGCCGCGGCGGCATTGCTGGTGGTCTTTGCCCAACGCCGCCACCTCGGCCCACCAGTGCCATCGCCACCTCGACCCACCAATGTCGTCGCCACCGCCCACCTCCAGCAACGTTGCTAGAGGCGAAGGTGGAGGTGGCGGCGTTGGGCAGAGGAATGACCACCAGCACCATCGCCACCTCTGACAACGTTGCTAGAGGCGGAGGTGGCGGTGGGTGACGACGGATGGCGGTGCTGATGAATAGATTGCAAGAGGAAGAAGATGAATAGTGTTTTTGCCCTAAATTGATATTATTTTAAAAAAAGTTAACCTATTTTTGAATTTTTTTAAAAATATTACTTTTGTTGATATTAGGGCCCAAAAGTTGCCCTTATTTGCTATAATCCCTACATTTTTCAAAGTGGGCCCACATACCTTTAGTGGACATGTATGTGTAGTTCACGTACATTTTACAAAGTGGGCCTGACATACCATTAGTGGACATGCATGTGGGATCCATGTGTGGACATGTATGTGGGGCCCACATATATTTTTCATGGTGGGCCCCACATACCATCGGTGGACATGTATGTAGGGTTCATGTGTGGACATGTACGTGGGGCCCACATACCATTGATGGACATGCATGTGGGGTCCATGTGTGGACATGTATGTAGGGCCCACACATTTTTCAAGGTGGGACCACATACTATTGGTGGACATGTATGTGGGGCTCACATACATTTAACAAGGTGGGCTCGACATACCATTGGTGGCATTGCATGTGGGGTTCATGTGTGAACATGTATGTGGGGCCCATATACATTTTACAAAGTGGGCCCGACATACCATTGGTGGACATGCATGTGGGGCCACGTACATTTTACAAGGTGGGTCTCACATGCTATTGGTAGACATACATGTGTGTCCATGTGTAGACATGTATGTAGTCCCACATACATTTTTCAAGATAGACCCCACATAGTACCTAATATAGACCCACATATTTTTCCCAAGGTGAGCCCCATATATCAATTTGGTGGATCCCACTTGCACATTCAAATAATTTTTTATGGAAAGATAACGGATTTTCTCCAAACATGTGCACCGTGCCACACGTTCGAAGATTGGGCGCGCTAAAAGATCGTAAAAGCTTCATTTTAACCTACTTAAAAAAAGCGGGCTGTTAGCTTTTTTATGCGCTGGAGCTTTTTTCCGATACATCTTTTCATGCGAGTTCCTGCCGTCGCTCGAAGCCTCAGACCATCCGTTTGCATTTTTCATTTCTTCTCCCGCCAGCACCTAAATGATATTCACTCTCTTTCTGAAAAACCAACAAAAAGAAAATGGGTCTAAATAAAGGACAGCAAGACCGTTAAGTGGATCTCCTGGAGATAGATTAGCTTCGATTCATGTCCTGATCCATTCATCGCCACTTGTTGTAATAAAAATTCTCTCTCGTTTCTATTTTTTTTTCAACCAAATTCTCTACTTCTTCCCATTTGAACAGCTGCTCCCTTTTAAGATGACTCCCGCCGGAGTTAGGCCTCTGCGAGGTTGTTATTCGTCGTCGGGCCTTGATAATTTAGTTTTCTTCGCGTCTTCCAAGATGAATTCAGGGCTCCTGAATTTTCCCGAGTCCAATGTGGCTGGATTCCACCGCAGGGATAAGAATGTGGGTCTATCCTTTGTCAATGCAAAATCACCACTCTTGCAGCCAATGAAGGCCACTCAAGATCAGAGAACGGATTACATGAATGGAGAGGCAAGAAAAATTGGAGGGTCGGAAGAAGAATTCAGGGACGATTGTGCCGGAGCTTATGGTATTCTTTGCTCTGTATACCACATTGTTTGGTTCTTGCTAGTATTTTTAATTATATTAGACAACACTACTTCATTTGGTCCCCCCCTCCCCCCGGCGAGGTAGCCACTCCATGATCGTGTTTTTTTTTTTTTTTTTTTCGTTAGCTATGTTTTTGACATAATACAATTTTCAGTTTCATTTGCAATTCCTGCTTGTTGCTTATTCCTCAAGTATAGTGTTTTAGTTTCTCTCTCTCTGGGTTATTCCGTCACCTTTAGTTATTGCATGCTTTTTTAATGGTCTCTATATAGTTGCTTCTGGGGTTCAACTTGCAGAAATGACTTTTTCTTTCTTTTTCTTTTTTATTTTTTTTTGAAATTGGCTTTATTCTGACATTGCTTATCTGCAATGATTTTATTTATTTATTTCCTATAAATAAAAGCTCTAATTTTTTTGGAGCATTGCTAGAAAGTCTGGGACATGCATGCATATGTATATGGTATTGGTTACAGTATTTTATATATAAGGTGTTGTGCTTTTACTTCAAGGAAATGACTTTACCTTCAGATCTGTACAATATATTATGAGGTTGGGTGTCGGTGGAGTAGGTGCGTTTCTACCGTAGTCATATGATTGAGAAACTAGAGATGGCCTTCAGTTGGTTCTTTTGCATTTTTTTGGCTGAAAGTTTTTCATGCTCGCTCCAAATGTGTTCAAAATGTTGGAGAAGTGGCCTGCCTACATGGTTCTAGGAGCTAGGAAACTCCTACAGGAGTTGTGGTTTGAGTTCTGTAAATTTGTAATACTCTTGTTCTCCCAGGCTTGCGATCCATTTAATTGGCATTGCTATATTTAGATGTTCATTTAATTGTTGTTTAGTTATACTTGTTAGTTGGTCTGGCTTTTGGTTCATGCTTTCTGCCTTGTTGATTAATATTAGTTCCTCTCTTAATAAGTTGTTAGGCATCTGCTATGCACACTTTATTAGATGAATCTAGTTGCTATGAATTCAGATGAATGAAGAAAGTGTCCCACAAGTGGTTCATCAATATTTCTACCTCACATGCTTTTTTTAGGTCCATGAAAAGTTAGTATCATGATACAAGAACAACAAAAAAGCATGGATGGTTAATCTAAACTATCTGTTGAATTGGCTTTTATCTTGGTCAGACACTAATTTTTTTCTTAATTTTCAATGGAATTACATCCAATTGAGATATTAGCAGAAGAGGCCATCATCTTGATGGGTTTGTTCATAGAATATCTGCACCCCTGTGCTACAGCATAATTTGTCATCAATTTGTTGCTATTAAGTATTGACAGGGAAATGCAAGCCAGTTAGCTGAAAACATCAATATGGTTAATTACCAAATTAGCAAATAGATCTGGAAGATTCCGACCAATTCTACCTCCCATATCTGCATTGCATATGATTCTAGATGAGCTTACTAGCTGATCATAAATGGCTTGGACAAAGTAGGCATTTTGCTCCAGTTCAGACTACTTTTTCTTTTTATGGTTTCTTGGGCCGAAGCTCCGGTACAATGTAATTGGTACTACTATTCTGTTTGAGTTTGAGAACTAAAGCCCTTATGATAATGTCAAAAGATCTATCAATTCCTATACTGTTGTTGCTGTAGGAGGTATGGTTATTTGATATTATCTTTAAAATCCATACGGTTCAATCATTTAGTTTTTGTTATCTGGATCCTACAGGGTACTAATATTCTATTTGGATAGGGAAAAGTAATGGAATAATGTCTACTGTTGGAAACTCAACAAACATTGTGTGGCATGAATGCTCAGTTGGGAAACATGAAAGGCAGAAATTACTTCAGCAAAGAGGATGTGTTGTATGGATTACAGGTCTGAGTGGTTCAGGTTTGTTGATATAACTTTTAGTAATCACCATCCATCTTTGGCTTATGGATACTTTTCTTTCCAACTGCTTTCAGGGACTTCTATTTTCTACAATGCATTCTTTTATGACCTTTTAGATCTTGAGGAGAGGTGCCTACTGTAATTCTTACCTATATTCTAGAATCGTGATGCAACTTTCTTAAAATACTGGGGTTGCCAGTATTTGTCTGGCAGGCCCAAATAGTGGATATAAGACTTTGTTGAATGATTGGTTTGATGAATAAGCATATTGGTGCAAAATTCATTTCCTTCTTATTCCTAGATATTAAAGTTAATTAATACTTCAAGGTGGTTCTTTATCATTTTAATTCTTAATATTTTTCTTCCTTTTCACATTTCTTTCAGTCATATGTTATTTTATAAAGAACTTTTTTTTTTGTCATTGCACACACACATACCTTTCTGTATCAAGGTTTTATATTTTGATGAAGTTTTGTTTATAGTGAACTTTGGTTTGACAGTGGTAAATTTTGAAAATTTTAATATTTCAAAATTAAGTCAGTTCCAGATATTTTATTTTCTTTTCCTTTTAAGCACCACTACATTTCTATATTGAAAGCCTATGAGATTTGTACCATAGAGTTGGGTTTTCACTTCTTACAACAACCAATTCTTGTCACCTTGTTGTGACTTGCATCACAACGTAAAGCATGCCTGGTTCTGGTAATCCAAGATGTCTTGATATTTTTTGTGGTAATAAATAAAAAAGAAAAAAATTATTAAAGAAATAGAAAAACAATACAACAAGGTGACAAGTCATCACCCACACAAAACTCAACACCCAAAACTCAGAACCCTCCAGCCCCTTAGATTACAATCTTTTTTCTTTCCAACCCTTAAACAAACTACAACCTCACTACCAAGACCCAGAGCCTTCAGATCCCAAGAAACTCTTCCTCCTATACCATCAATCCAGGAACTAGCCCTCATATAATCCCTTTATGACTCAGATCTCCACTTTAAAGTTTTCCATGCTCAATGGATATTTCATTTTCAATTCCCTAAACATATTCCTTGGAAAATCTTCCCCCCTCTAACACAGATAATCCACAGCTTGCTTACTTGGACCTCAGTTTCCACTACCTTTCCCCCCTCCTGAAAGTATAAGAATGCCACCAGGCCATCAGATCCATAATGTTGAGGAGAAAGAGACAAGACAATTCAACAGTATTGAGGAGGTGAGATTAAACTGGGCTAGCTACTTCATAGTTCACAGAGAGATGATTCATTGAATTTCCATCCTTTTTACCCATTAAACAAGTATTTGGTGACAGGGCCTTTAGTTTCTCATATTCTGGAGCATTCACATATTGATTTCTTGAGGCATTCTAATATGATCTATCTCACATGAAGTTTCTTGCATTTTGGCCAACTTTTGATTTGAGATCTAAATATAAATTTTGACCAATACTGGGAAAAAAAAATAAATCTCCTCTTGTTTTCATTTTTTCATGTTATAAGTTCTTTTTGTTATTTTTATATTCAGGATACTAGCTGAGATGCACTCTAAGATGCATTGTTTCTTTGACCAAACCTGAATTGTTGGTTTTTATTGCGCTGTTTCATAATAACATTTGAAAATTTTATCCAGCCAGGCCATATAGGAATTTTTTTGGGAGGTGCGGTGGGGTGGGGATTTTCAGTAAGTATATGAAAAAAACTGACAAAGAACAATGCATTGAAATAAAGTTTGTATATGCATGATATAGTTTGGACAATTAGACAAACCTAGGGCTGTCAATGGGTTGGGTCCAACTCGGCAGACTCGATGGATTTGAATCGATTGGGTCGGTTTTGGTTCCATGAACCGGAATCGATGTGTTGGTTCCAGTTCTTGATATATCGTCCCGATTATTATCAGTTTGGAACCGGTTCTAAAATCCAACCCAATTATATTCAACAGGTTTATTACAATCAGTTGTAATGTTTAGAGATGTTGAAGAGAGAAGAAAAGGATTGACAACATCAGTTGCAGGAATTGGCCTACAAAAGGGAGTCCGATTTTCACTAACATCCTCCCCCTGAAGAGAAGGACGGGAGATAGAGAAGAAGGGAGTAGATTCAAAGAATGTGACATCTTTGGACACATACATTTTTCCAGAACAAGGGTCATAACAATGATGTCCCTTTTGGACTACAGAACATCCCAAGAAGACACACTTAATAGACTTTGGATCAAATTTCAGCCTAGAAGGACTCATGTCATGGACGAAGCAAACACACCCAAAAACCTTGGGAGGAAGATGGAATGTATCTTCATCAGGAAAAAGAAGTTGATGAGGAGACTGAAGATGCAGGGTCCGCGAGGGAAGTCTGTTAATAAGATATACAACCGTTTGAGCAACATCCCTCCAAAACCGAGTTGGAACATGCATTTGGAATAACAAGCCTCTGGCAACTTCAATCACATGTCTGTTTTTCCTCTTCGATACCCCATTTTGTTGGGGAGTATGGGGGCAAGAGTTCTAGTGAATCACTCCTTTTTTTTCAAGGAAGGTTTGTAAGTGCTTCTCAAAGTACTCATTGGCGTTGTCAGATCTAATAATCTTAATCTTCTTCTCAAACTGTGTCTCCACTATAATAAAGAAGCCTTTCACAATTGAAGGAACTTCATCTCGGCTCTTCATCAAATACAACCAAGTATACCGTAAGTAGTCATCAACAAAGAGAATGAAATATTTGTAGCCACCCATACATGGAATGGAAGAAGGTTCCCAAACATTAGTATGTATTAAATGAAAAGCAACATTACTTCTTTTGTTACTTGCAAAAAAGGTTGTTCTACATTGCTTTGATAGTTGATAGACTTCACATTGCAGACCAGAACTATACAAGGACTCAAAAAACTAGGAAACAAAAACTTCAAGGAACCAAAAGACACATGCCCAAGACGATGATGCCACAATTTCAATTGACTTAGTTTCTCATCATGACAAGACACAGACTGACACATCAACCCTAACATTGGAGATTGATCAAGAAGATAAACTCCATCGGCTTCATTTCCACTGCCAATTGTCTTCCCCGTACTCAGGTCCACTGCCAATTGTCTTCCCAGTACAAAGTTCAAAGAAAGGCTATTGGTAAGTTTAACTTCACCCAAACCCGATATTGGGGTCTGGGATACATCGACAACGGTAATCGTACCTTTCCCTGAAAAAAGTCTATAAGTGGTAAAGTAGGAGGGCATACCAGTCATATGATCATTGGCTCTTGTGTCAATTATCCAAGAGCTAGAGGGTGGGGCATGATACACAAGTGCAGTACCTGATTTTGCGAAGGCACTAGAAGAAGCATTTGAACTAGTAGATGTAGGCAACCTGCTCTTTTCAAGATGGAGTAAGATGCCTTTCAATTTTTCCATCACATCAGAGGTGTTATGAGTAGATGCCGGAGCAGGAGGATTTCCCTTAAGCATGTGAGTCTGAGAACCATGACTTGCAGTAGCAACATGAGCATTTACTTTCTTTCCAGTTTTAAACTTCTCAGGTTTCAAGTGGGGATTTAGTTTCCAACATCTATCCTTGGTATGCTTCGGCTTCTTGTAGTATTCACAAAAAACCTCTTCATGTTTACCAAAACTCTGCTTAGGCTTTGTGGACACGAGTAGTGTGCTCACCTACAGACACTTGCATCATATTATTCCTCCTACTCTCTTCATTCTGTACAAGAGAATACGTTGTGGAAAGTGACAAAATATCAGCACTAAGGATGTGTTGCCTAATGAAGTCATAATTAGCATTCAACCCGGCAAGAAAATCGAAAACTCGAGTTTTTTCAATGTACTTTTTGTATTGTTCAGCATCAATAGGATCTTTCCACTCCAAAGCCTCAAGATGATCAATTTCTTCCCAAATTGATTATAAGGAGGAGAAATACATGGCCACTGACTTTTCCCCCTGTCGCATATTACATGCTTCTCTTCGCAACTGATAGATTCTAGTAGTGTTTTTCGCTTGAGAATAAGTTGCAGTTAGTCTGTCCCAAATATCTTTAGCTATTGGAAGGAACATATAGTTACGGGTGATGTGTGGCTGCATAGAGCATACAAGCCATGACATAACCAACAGATTATCCTGCTCCCATTTGGAATAGTGTAGATCTTCAGGCTTCAACTTAGCTTCCTTATCAGTAATAAATCCGAGCTTACCTCTTCCACCGATTGTAAGCTTGGCTGATTGAGACCATTCAAGAAAATTTTTCCCATCAAGTTTTACAATAGTAATCTGTCCTCTGGCATTGTCATTGCTTCCTAGGAGAACATAGGTAGGTATGTGGACGTCTTTGTGTGAGTCCATTGATCACAGCCCCTCCAAAAAAATTTCTCACCAACACCACAGTCTTCTAACAACAACTGAACTCCCAAACACCTTTTCCACAAGGTTAGACATGAGTTACAACAAAAAGCCTAGGAAAAATAGGTACTGGTAGCAAAATATGGGAAGAAAAAAATTCCCAAAAAAATTTTTAGGGCTCTAAAAAATTCAAGACTACTTCCTACAGTCCCAAGGGTTTACCTCAATTCAAACACAAGAGGTCTCAGCAGCAACCAATCCACCATGTGAGCATGTGAGCCCTAAATTCCTGATCTAGATTTTTCGCTAATTTTCATCCGAAAAATCCAAGAAAAATCCAAAACAACTTCAAACCACCATGAAACTTATACCAAAATTCCCCTAAAATCAGGGCGAATCAGCGACTATAAAAAACCCATGAAGATGCTACCGACTATACGAATTGTTGACGTCAACCGGTGGCATGCTGACGTTAGCAGATCTGTCTGTGAGTCATGACCAACAACAAAGAGTTTTCTTGATCGTGCGTAGCTCTGATACCAAGTTGTAAAGTTTAGAGATGTTGAAGAGAGAAGAAGGATTGACAACATCAGTTGCAGGAATCGACATACAAAAGGGAGTCTGATCTTCACTAACATCATGATCAGGTCTATTGGCTCATACCCG